ATCGTCTAGGTCCATTTCCAAGTGGTTCTTTTCCTACTTCTATGGGGCAATGGTCAAAGGTGACCTTAGGTAAGGCCTTAGCCACCAAGACTCTCCAATGGCTCTCCCAACCCTCATTAAAAAGAAATCTATCAAGCTTTGAACAAGTTAGGTTTTCTTGGAAGTTGGACCAAGTGAAGATAGCTTGTAGTAAAGGAGTAAAGGAAGCTCTCGTAACTCACAAGAGTTAATGAAGTCATTGAACTTCCTCATACTAGTCGTGATGGCTTGTCTGGGATTATTTGACTCAGTTGTGAACCTTATTGCGTTAAAGTCCTCCCCCCAAGGACTAGGGGTCTTCCCATAAACCTTGGATGCCATGAAGCTCCTCCCATAACTCATTCCTTTGTAATTATTTGGCCCATACACGTTTTTGTTAGCACCCATATAAAGCCATCTTTCACCATCCTGAATTTTAGGGACACAGTGAAGTTTCCTATCAACTCTTCTACTGGTTCTACGAAATCCTCCCTCCAAAAAGTTACTATTCCCCCCAAAGCTCCCCACGAGGGAGCTGAATACCATCTCACACCTCTTACTTTCCAAATTTCTTTGACCCACCTCCTATCCAGTTCAGCTAGTTTGGTCTCCTATAGCATCACAATATCAGGTCTTTCTCTCCTAAGTAGCTCCTTAATCAGTCTCCTTTTTCTAGCACTACTCAAACTCCACATATTCCAACAGATTATCTTCATTAACTTTCTTGATTAAGCCTTCCAAACACTATCTTCTCCTCATTTAGAAGCCTATTTCCTTTCCCCTCTTCCACTGAATTCAATATCCCCTTCAATGTCCAAAATTAGTCTCTCTACTTCAGATTTCTTCTTCTTTTTCCTACCCTTATTACCCATGGACTTCCTATGCGGCCCTTTATTTCCTGTTTCCTTCTCCAATCTGTTGGGGCTTGCATCTGATTCAGGTTTTTTTGGGGTCTCCTCTACTAGTTGTCATGGCGACGCCTAGGCGACAAGGCGCCCTTTGAGGCTCACCTCGCCTAATCGTCAAACAGTTTTGTACTATGTATTATAAAATACTTTTTTATTCTTAATTTGTTGACATTATAATTATAAAATAGGCACTATTAAACTGAAATATTCATTTTGTGTGTTTATATTACTAATTTCTTTTTATTATTTTCTTATTTGTTAGGGTTTGATCAATTTAAACATTGCTAAATGATGTATTGAACCCTCAAAGACTTTAAAACCTGAACCAATAAGTAAGGAAGAACTTAAAATTTTGTCTAATCAACACATTTTCTACTACTACTACTACTACTACTACTACTATTCTAATCAACACATTTTCTTTTCTTCTTTTCCTATAACAAAAACAAGGGTTCAGCCCCTATATTTTTTGAATTTTCTCTTCCTTCTTTTTCTTCTCATGAATATGTTGATTTTCTATACTTTAACATGAACTCTATACTTTTCTTATGAAAAATATGAATTATTAAGGAAATATGGTTATGGTACCTAGGGAATTACCCTAGGATCTATGCTTTCTACATAAAAAAAATCCATCGCCTAGGCGACTAGGCGACAAGGCGCCCCCCCTGTCGCCTAGCCTCGCCTTGGCGCCTTGAAAACTATGCTCCTCTATCATTTCCTCTTTCTGTTTATATTCCTCCAACAGTGTACAAATCTGCTCCCAAATCCATTCCAGTTCCTCCTGTTTCCTTTCTACTAAACAATTCCCCTTCTCAATTCGACTTCCGGCACTCTCATTCATCACTCCCCTACTGTCACTTGGTTGTTTTATTTGAGATTCCAGGATATCTGTTACAGACATAGAACCCAGATTAGTATCTAAAACAAATGGACAGGCTAACTTGAAGGTAACAGAGGTGATTGCAATGGGACCAGATGTTGGGTGTCTACTATTGAAGTTAAGACCAGACCCATTCCTTGTTCTTAACTCAGCTGTGGAAGTAAACTAGGTTCAACCGTGACTTTTTCACCCCCTGCAGTCAAAGGTACCTCACTAGTCTTTCCCTCTATGTGAATCCTTAGGTGAGGCGCAAGATCTGATTCCTGTCTCTCTGGCCCGATCCTGAATAGGGTGTGCAAATGAAGTAGACTCGTTTATTGGCAGAGATGTAATCTGCCGGACCTCTGCATGTGTTTCCAACACCATCTGTTTTTTGTACGGAATTCCAGGAAGGGAAGATATCTGTTTGCCGCCGTTGAGACTCAGATTCCTCGGCTGTTTGTCATTGCCAAAATCTTGTGGATCCATTTCCTCCTCTGGAAATAAAAGTTCAGTGTTTACGCTTCCCTCCTCCATGATATCTTTTGGTTTTTGGAGGTCAATACTTCCCAGAGTGAGGGTTTCTCCAGATTCTGAATCCGAATCAGAAAACTCTTCGTCATCTGTCGACATTTCCAAATCTAAGTCATGTGGCTCACTGTGCTTCACACACCTCAGATTACAGCGATCCTGTGAAGATCGAGCCAGCTTCTTCGATGGGATCCATTGTAAGGAGCTGGACACCTTTGCAAAGTTGTTCGAGCAAAAGGAGGAGCTCGAGGAAGACGATGGTAGACCTTGTTTGCTGTCTACCTGAGATGCTCCCCCTGTCATGTGCTCCTTTAAGTCCTCATGTGCCAACCTAAGCCCTCGGTCAATTAATTTTGGCCAACTTTTGGGCCTACTGGACCCAGGAGTAGAATTTGAATTTGAACTTGGGCCTTCTGGGTCAGCCACCATAAGGTTACAGGTTTCCTGATTCTAACAAGACTCCAGCCTGACCCGATGGTTTACCTCCCCCAATCTGTGGTTCAGTTTGTACTACCAACAGGCCCTTCCCCTCACTTAAGCCATTCAAATTATCTTGCTTGGCGCCAGAAGCTACTACCTGAGCAAATGTCCTGTTGGTTGTCATATCCTTACCTTGTATCTCACGTTTTCTACTAATCTCTTGACACAAATCTTTTGGGCTGCTTAAAGGTTGTGTTTCCATTTTGGTGAAACTTCCCAGTTTCTTCTGTTTAACTAACTCCAATCTGCCATGTAGCTCCATTTCCTTGACCTTTCATCTTCCTCCTGCCTGGCCTCCCTCCAAAGGGTAGCTTCAATGGAAGACACTAACCAGACTGGTAAAAACAATCCATCCACAGCAACGGTCACCTTCCTCGGTATATCTTCTGGTTTTACTCCACCCGGTAGAAGGGCTGCACTTCGCAGGTCTCCCCAAAATACACCATCAAGGTGAGCACCACACAACAAAGCAATTGAGTTTGCTGTCTCTTGATTCCAGAGATGGAATGGCAAACCAATCACTTGTCCAGTAACATTATCTTCCACTGAGAAGACTTTTGAATTGGAAGATGAAGACCATTTAAAGACTGAGAAGATCCCCAGAGCATCTTGAATACATAAAGCTTTAACATTTACTTGGTTTTCAAGAGGGTCCAGCACTGCCTTAGCAAGATCAAACAGAGTTAAAAATAAAGGTGCTCCTTAGCCCCAGTTTGAAGTTTGAACTTCAACAGTTCTGCAACTTTCCACCAATCTGTTACCAACTCTCCATCATCAATCACTAACATTCTTGATTCTTCCCCATTTTCCTGTTGTCCCATTTGCTACCAAGGAAGGATTCCTACTATTGTTTGCCATGACCAAGAAATTCTTTTTTGGTTCCTCTTCCTTACACAGGATCTGGCTGCTAACTACTGGGCTTTGTTCACTTTCATAAATTTCCATCAACTCTTTTTTCTCCAGCTCCCTTCTATTTAGGAAATTTGTTAGTATACCAGCTATCCCTATCCATCCTTGACTATTCTTCCTTTGAGGGACACAAACCATTTGCTTCCTTCCTTTAGAGAAATATTCAGTAAGAGATATGAATGCACCTTTTGCATTCCTCTTGTTTTCCATCACATACCTCCTAACTGTCTCTGAGTAACTCTTTCCATTTTATCTGCTTCCCTTTAGCTGCTGCATCAGAAACAAACTCTTTTAACCAGTCAGTCATCTCTGAGCCTTCCACAAGAGCCGTGGCCATCTTTTGTTCTCTTATTTTCAGACTAAGTCTTCTTTTGGTCCATATTTCTTCAAAGAGGAGATCTTTAGCCTCTACCCTCAGAGATGACCACCATTTTGTTTTCTCCATGCAACCTCTCTCCACAACCTCCATTTCTCTATCCACAAAGCCTCTTCTTTAGCATCACATATTAAACTAAATTTTAATAGTAGTTCTGTTGAGAACCCAGGTCAATCAGGTGTGAGCCTTAGAGCTGAACTTTTAGCACATCTACAAAAAGCTGAAACCAGTGGAGGGCATTAGATGGGGATTTTGGTTGAAGATGACTGTTAAGTAGTTTGCTTTCGCTGCAATCAAAAGCCGAAGGATCCCTATGTCTGAGGGACCTTGGTGCCTTGATCTCTTATGGAAGCATCAGCGTTGTCTTCAAATCTGAAATGCTCGTTCAGATGGATCCCTATGTCTGCTAGAAATTTAGCAAGGGTCCTTTGATCTGTATATAAATCTTAAACTAGTGTTCTTTCTTTCATTTTCTAAGTTAATAAGATTTGCTATTATTGGTGCAAAAGTAAGAAGCTACTAGCATGCTGATCTCTTTTGGTGTCACTCAATTCCTTCTAATCAGGTGTAAGAAACTAAGAAGAGTGACCAGACCTTATCCCATATTTGTCACTATATTTGGTGTCATTCAATTCATTGTCACTATATTTGTCTTTGTGCGTTTGTGATCACATCATCCAAGCCTTAACCTAACTATGATCTTTGTGTGTGTGTATGCACTTATGTTTCTCAAAATATTTCAATAAGAAAAATCTTTTGATGTTAGACAAAATCTTAAAAGATTATAAGTTTTCAGTACTTTATATATATATATATATGCTGCTTGTCAAGATTATGAATATCTAAATTGAGACTTGAGAATACATACAATCTCTTTGATTGTTGCTCTTATGCTTGCCATATAAACATGGATCAGGGACGTGTTCGAGTTTTGGCTTTGATAGTCAAATTGTTCTCCATTTCTAGCTCTGTAGCATCAACGATTTTCAACTCAAATCTCCTCAGTTTATTAGAGGAAGAAATCCACAACACAAATGATATGCTTATGACTTTGAGTGTCCTGGAACTCTTATATGAGGTAAGGCATGAATATCTACATATTGTATCCTTGACTCTTTTTTATTGCAATACTTTTTCTTTTGGATCAGCAACAAAATGAAAAGAGCTTATTAAAAATGAAGCAAGATAAATGTTTACTCTCACTCTCCCAATGCTTAGGCTTTATACTATTTTCCAATTAATGAGGGAATCCTTCTTGGCGTTCCCTATCTCCCATAATATTTCTATAATATCTATATAAAATATGCAAAATATTTAAAAAGCTGTTAGTAAGAGGTAACTGTATTGGTATAATATGGAGAAATTTCCTATACAAAATATGCAAAAGTAGCTAATCAGAGTTTTAGATCAGCTAGACAAAATGCTCTTCATTGAAGAGATGAAGAGTATGATTCTATTAGCTATAAACTGAAACTGGGGATATAATGAGGCGGCGGGTAGTTTGTGGAGGGAAGTTATTCATGCCAAATATGATCAAAGGGGAGATAGCTGGGACCCAGGTGATGTTACTCCTACTTATGGGTGTACCCTGTGGAAAGTAATTCAGATTTCTAAACTGGATTTTTTTTGAAGGGGATTGAATTTAAAACTGGGGATGGAACAAGGGTAAGATTTTGGGATGACCCCTGGTGTGAAGAGACTTGTTTGGAGGAGCTATATCCTTGTCTATTTGATTTAGCTCAGAACAAAGAAGCTGCTGTGGCAGACTACTTGTCATTTCACAATGGTACAACATTGTGGAATCCTATTTTTAGTAGGAATCTTAATGACTGGGAGGTGGAGCAAATGTCTGACCTTCTGCAAAAGTTATACAGACATAACCCAAGAGTATAAATCAACAGAAATATAAAAAATTATAGAAAGAGAAGAAGGGAAAAATTTGTGAGAGAAGAGAAAGAGAAAGAATGGAGAAAAGGAAGAGAAGCCAATTATTATGGCTGCCCTCTCCCATTAGCTTTTATACTTTAAGTAAAAAACAAGTACAAAGATAAATACGCCCTTAATAGGGTGGCTGGTGCTTACATCTTTAAAAGAAAGATAAACTACTATCCTAGCAACTTCTAATTAATAGACTATGGTTCCAACAAGCTAACTAAACAAAATAAATAAGGAAAACAAGTTATTAACAGAATAATCCTCAAAACTCCCCCTCAAGTTGGGAGTAAATGCGTATGTTCTTATACAATGGGTGGGGAGATCAGCAAACTCTTTGGCTTATGATTTAGGTAAGCAAGGGGCAATTATGGAAGTCTTGTTTTGGGCTCAGCTGTTATCCTTATTCTTTCTTCTTTCTAATTTACTTTTGATGATTCCACCTACAACCAAACCATAGTTTTCAAGGCGCCAAGGTGAGGCTAGGCGACAGGGGGCGCCTTGTTGCCTAGTCATTAATGTTGTCCATTCATTCATCCTAATAACATATCTTCTTAAAAGCAATTAAAACTATAAAATTATTATTTTTTGTGTGAAAACTAAGAATTTAAGACCCTAACATGGACTTGTTTGGGCTTGCCTCGAGGGGCATGGTACAAAAGCGGCTTGTAGAATTTAGGAATATAATATGTCACATTAGCTACTTGATGCAATTGAGAAAAAAAAGAGATTGTGGGTTTTATATGCTTGAAAATGTTTTATATGTTTGATTTCATTTTTAAATTCTCATTTGAATATGCTTTACATATTATATTTATGTATTTTAATTTTAGATAATAGGTTTTTTAAAACATTTATTTTAAAACTTAAGTTTATATTTTTATTAATATTATGTTTTATAACTTTTTGATTTTTTTGCATTTTTTTGAATTTTTAGCTTTTTTTTTTTTAATTGTGCGCCTTGCGCCTCAGGTGCAAAATAGCCCTTGCGCCTTTTTTGTGCCTTGCGCTTTTAAAACATTGCCTCCACTGAATGCACCAACATCATTAGCACCACGAGTAACATCTTCATCACCGTCATCATCACTGTCATCGTCATCATCATGATCATCTTCAACATCAATATCTTTGTCTTCATCTTCATTATCTTCCATATCTTTTTCCCACATTGAGTCTTCTTCTTCTTCTTGAACTACATTTTTGCCTTTATCTTGTCTTTCGGGTGCACATCGCCCACGACCACCACCTCTACCTCTATTTGCACCCCCACTTGCATTTCCACATCCATGTCCACTTCTCCTTGGCCTATTCCTTAAAGGATTTCAGATGTCCCTAATGCTTCATCAGCTTGAGTCCATGTAAGATCACAGCCTTAATAGACCAAGTCATTTGAGGGGTCTTTGCCAGTCAACCATTCACTAGTTTCATCTACATCATCAAAGCAAATAGGGTCAAACTACTTTGGGTTTGCATGCCTTGTTGTAAATCTTTCTCGGAGGCGTTGATTGTATTGAACAAATACAAGATCATTGAGTCTCTTTTGATCAAGCCTATTCCTTTTTTTTTGTATGAATCTACATTCACAACAAAATAAGAAAAATTATAAAAATAAGTATTTTAACTTTCATAAATAATTTTATCACAAAACCAACCATTACATAGAACTTACATGCTCAAAAGTGCTCCAATTGCGCTCACGAGCAGAAGAAGTGCATGTAAGACCTAATATGCGTAATGCAATACGCCTAAGGTCTGGGTGCAATGTCCATAGCTATGCCACCAATTAGCTACAAAATAGGAAAAAATGAATTAAGAATATAAATTTAAAATAGCAGGAATAAAATATAAATATAAGTTTCAAGAAAAGAGAGCTTATATTACTTGGTTGCTTCGTTTAACGTTGCCTAATTGCCAATTCTTTAGAGAAAGCACCACGGGCATGCTTATACTCTTCCAATTCCAATTGATGAGAGATCTTGTCTTGAATTTCATTATCACTAACCATTCTCTCAATGCAATCTAGAAAGCCCATTTCAAACTTTCCAACCGATGCTTCATCTTGTGCTTTAGCCTTATAATAAAGGACTTAATTGAGAAAAAACCAGCAAGGTGCAATGGATGTTGCATCATATTAGTCCATTGCCTATAAAAAATGTCTAAAATGCTTATACTCCCTCTCTTTCCCACTACAATTTTCTTTTATTTTCTCTCATGCTCGCTCCATTGCATAGTAAAAATAACCCATTGTGGGTTTCTCATCACCATCAACCAATCATAAAACCTCCACAATTGGTTGGGCAACCAAAAGAGCAACTCTTACATTTTTCCAAAACCCAATAGAAAGCACAATGCTTGATGCTCTTAGTCCATCTGATTTGTTGGCCCATTTACTCTTGTTCCACAAATCACCCGCAAATAAAGCAAGCAAGGTCTCCTTGAAAGTAATATAAACTTTGTAAAGTTAGAAAAGATGTGGCAAACCTTGTAACTACACATCACACAAGATCTCTTCCATTTGTTTTTTCCCTCATGCGTGCAAAAAGAAGAGGATCTTTATAAATAAAAGTAGTTATTTGTCTTGCCCTGGCAATACAACTTTTTATAGACCTCAATTCTCCAATGTCTTCCAACATGAGGTCTAGACAATGAGCGGCACAAGGAGTCCAAAATAAATTCTTCCTCTTCAATCTTAAAAGATCACTGGCAGCAACATAAGCAAAGTGGTTATCAGTAACCACTTGCACTACATGTTCCTCCCTTATTTCCTTAACAAATTTATCAATCAACTCAAATAGAAAAGTTGCATTATGGACTTCAACTGATTTTAGAAAAAAAGTCCAAAGTTGCATTTGATGCATCAACTGATTTTAGAAAAAAAGTCCCTTCAGGGGAATTCACCAAAAAATTGATCAATGATCTTTGCCTTTTATCATTCCATCCATCAGACATGATGGTACAACCTTAAGTCTTCCAAGAAGCCTCATACTCCTTGTACATTTGCTTCGTTTTCTCAACCCCCTTCAAGAGTGGCTCTTGTAATTTATGGTAACTTGGAGGCTTGTATCCAGATCCGAATTGTGCAATTTTTTTTTTTTTTTGATAAATGATTGAATTTTATTCAAGAAATTCAATAAGATATTACAATACAGCCTTCCCAAAGGAGGGGCACGAGCTGGTACCTCTCCACAACAACAAATTGTACTACCTCAGACTAGTAACAAAAAGTTTACAAAGCTGGTGTTAGCTGTTCTACCCACCCACTGAAAAATAACATTCATGTTCCTTGAGAACCATTTAGCTTTCCTCATAATATCCCTGTAGCACCAGATCACTGAATTTGGATTTTTTAACCAACCCACACCAACTTTGGAATCTCCTTCAATAATCAAATTTTGAACTCCCAACTGGTCCGCAACCTGAATGCCTTGTACTGCCGCTAGAAGCTCAGCTCTAATAGAGTCTCCTATACCCACAGAGCCTGAGAATAAAGATAAAATGTTCCTATCTTTATCTCTTAGCACCCCACCAATCCCTGATGGCCCCGGATTTCCTTGGCTGCTACCATCAAAATTCAGCTTTGTCGTCTTTTAAAGGGGGTACCCACACATCTGGTACCCTGTTCTTTCTGTTACTGCTACTAGCCACAGCCATCCAGTTCCTCCACATGTCATCAAAGGAATATAATTTGAAGGAATCTAATGATCTCAGCCAATGGATTGCCCTGGTCATAATGCAATCCTTTTACATTTTGAATATTTCTCTCCTTCTCTTGGAATATCCTCGCATTTCTTTCTTCCCAAATTGTCCACAAAGCCGCAGCTCTAATGCTCCTCCACATTGTTTTACCAGTTTTTGTGGGCCACACAAAGAAAGAAGGATCAAAGATCTGATCTATGTCTGTGGTCAAATTCCATCTGCAACCAAACAAAGCATATATCCAATCCCAAATAGCAACAGAAAAAAGAAAGGTTAAAAGTAAGTGAGAGCAATCCTCACCACTAGCCCTGCAAAGTACACACCAATTAAGAGACAAACACATAGAAGGCCTTCTCTTCTGCAATAAGTCTGAAGTGTTGATTTTCCTATAGAACACCTCCCAGCAGAACATAATAGTTTTAGGAGGTACAGGTTTAGATCAAATCTCCT